GTTTGTAGAAAGAAAGCTATGTCCATTGCTTATCAAAACAGAGATTTTTTTATCATGTAATTTTATAAGAAATTTTATTGGGACTCAGTATAATGGATATTAACTAATGGAATCGGTATAATTTCTGTTCACTCATTCATGTAGAAAATTTAAAAATAAATCTGTTGTTAAATTAGAGATGAAACCCAGGAAGGGTAATTCTGAGAGGAACTACACTAATGCGGTTCAGCTATTTAGGCCTCAGATGGCCCATGTGCTTTAACTGAATGTCAAACGTCTTTATCAGTCCTCGTATGTACTGTGGCTGGATTACCCGCGTTCAATGACAATGAATTTAGCAGATTATCTTAAATATATTAAAAGTAAGAAAAAAACATTGAGAAAAGATCTCATGAGGTTTTGGCACGTATCTGCAGTTTGCCTGGCTAAAAGCCGGTGTGCCAGCGACAGCAGAAATGCAGCCTGCACTCCACTCCCCACGCCTTCAGCCGGAGTCAGGGGTAAGGTGTAATCAACCTGCCTAGGGGTTCCCTGCCTGCGCAGACCTCTTAGCTGGTCCATTTTTCATTCATTCCCAGCCCTCATCTCCTTGGCCCCTACGTTACAAAGGATGAAAAACCTAAAGAGAAGATTCCTTGCTATTGAAATCAGCCCGATTTCCTAGCTTTCCGTAGCTAGTGTCAAAAGCTTTTTGTAGGATTCACCTGAACATTTGTCTGTATACATTCATTCCCTAATTCAGAAAGCAAGCAGCATCTTGCAATTCTGAAACGCTCCCCTGCGAGGAGATAGCTATGCGGCTCAGTTCTTTCCCTTGCAGACAGGACGGCTGCAACTGAGGTGGCCTTGCTGCAACCCCAAAGGAAGGCAAGGCGAAGTGCAGCCCTGTCGGCACTGTGGTTGCTTAGCTGCAGGATCCTTTTCTGTACCGTAAGAAAAATAAGCCATTTTGCTAATGCCACTGGCGAGCCGGGTTTTCTAGCTGGGCATCGAGCATTCCTTGCTGATCGAGGGGCACAATCACCAATCAGGCGGTGGCAGCAGCAACGGGCTCCCAGCAAGTCCGCAGAGCTTTGCAGCTCTTTTCATTTGGGCATCTCAGGTACTCGACTCCTGGCATGCTCTCTCCGGAGCCTGTTAAAGGTCTATTTTAAAGTAATTGTTTCTTTGATGGTCAGGTTTTGTTAATGAGTTTTTCCCTAATTTTTTAGGGGGGCGGCATTTGTTATTTTGTGCAACATCATTAGTCACTGATGAGTCATTAGCTCCAAATACGCATCAAACACCTATTAGCCTCTTCTCTGAAGATCCCTCCACCACCATTTATTTTTTTCTCTCAGGTTAAATCACTGCTGTATAAATAGCAATCCTCTGATATTTTATCCTAAGAGGTAACATTAAGTCATGCACTGTGATAACATGAAGGATGCCATTATTCTCATGAAGGCCTCTGCCCTTTCCATGGCAGTTTCAAATGTTTATTTTTATCATTTGCTTTGAGAATATCCCTTTACATGGCAGTAGGTTTGGGATTTACGTCTTATGCAAGTCCAACAGAATTCATGTTAACAGACTTCCATTCTGCTTGCTCTCCTATGGCACTTCCCCAGAGCCCATCCCTGGGCTTGAACCCAAAATACGGTCCTCTCCCCTGTACTCCAAGCACCTGATAAACAGGCAGGCAGACTCTGGGGTGTGGGAGGCACTGCCAGGAGACGATGCTCAGTGGTCCCCTAGTGGCCCGAAAGAGTACATGCAGGCTGCCAAAATGCCTCCTCCTCGTGGAGGCGAGACATTCATTAAGAAGCGAGATAAAGTAGGTGCAATGCCCGTTCCTTTCTAAAAGCCCAGGACATACACTCAGGGTTCAGTCTTGCCGAGGTTTGCTCCTCAGTCGGTCATGCAGTGCATCCAAGTGTCACACTGTGTCTTCATAACCTGAAGTTTTGCTTCTAAGCTCGGGATACAGTCTTCTGAATTAAATGGCTCCTTTTAGGAGCTAGTGACACTAACCCACTTGTCTGAAGCAAAAAGATGAGGAATTTATAAGAAGGAAACTGCTTTTGGGAGGAGTTAAAGGGCAGAAATGAGACCTAGATTATGAAGGAATGGAGTCAGGGAGGCTGCCTAAAATATAGGCAGCTGTTAGCTCAGTTGTGGTTTTTGTTTGTTTTTTGGGGGGGGGGAGGGTTAGTGAAGTGTCTCTGCTTCATTCTGTACAATTGCTGCATTTCTGTTTTTTTCCCTCCCTCCACAGCTATTTCTCATCTTGCATGAACTTGGCCAAACAGGTCCTCCCCAGTACTGGGAGCCTTAGTAAATAACAAAGACCAAACTCTGATTTGTTCACTCCATTTCTAAGTGCTGGAGAGAAAAGATTAGATTTGGCCAAAAATGATGATGACAATAATGATTATGTGATGCTTGGAAATTGGAAAGCCACATACAAAGAATGAAACTAGACTATAGTTTGTCCCCATGTACAAAAATTAATTCAAAATGGATCAAAGACCTAAATATATGAGACCTGAAACAATAAATTACATAGAAGAAAACATAGGTACTAGACACATGGACCTTGGTCTTAGAGAAGATTTTATGAATTTGGCCCCAAAGCAAGGAAAGTGAAGGCAAAAATAAATAAATATCAAACTAAAAAGCTTCTGCACAGCAAAAACAAACAAACAAAAACATCAACAAAACAAAAGGCAACTAACCTAGCGAGAGAAAATATTTACAAAAACAGCTCTGACAGGGGTTAATATCCAAAATATATAAAGAACTCATATAACTCAATACCAAAAACCAAACAATCCAATGGAAAAATGGGCAGAGAAGCTGGACAGACACCTCTCCCAAGAAGACATACAAATGGCAAAAAGTTATATAAAATGATGCGCAACTTCACTAGCTCTTAGGGAAGTGCAGATCAAACCACAATGAGACACCCCCTCACATCTGTTGCAATGACTATTATCACGAAGACAGGTAATAACAAGTGTTGGAGGGGTTGTGCAGAAAAGGGAGCCCTCATCACTGCTGGTGGGCATAGAGACTGGTACTGTCACGATGGAAAACAGCCTGGAGGGTCCTCAAAAAATTAAGAATAGAGTGACTATATGGCCCAACAACCCCTCTTCTGGGTATCTACCTGAAAAATTTGGAAACGCTTGTTCACAAAGCATATGACCCCATCACTGCAGCATTACTCCTGGTGGCCAAGACACGGAAACAATCAAGGCGTCCCTCAGCAGGCGACTGCACAGAGAAGATGTGGTATATATACAACGGAACACTCCTCATCATGGAAAAGGGGAAGCACTGCCATTTGCAGCAACCTGGAAGGACCCCGAGAATATCACGCTAAGCAAAGTCAGTCAGTCAGAAAAAGCTAAGAGCCATATGACTTCACTCATACGTGGGATATAAAACTGAAACTCAGACACAGACCAGAGGGAAGGGAGGTGTCGGGTGGTGAAGGCTAAAGGGGGCCGAATATGTGGTGACAGAAGATGATCTGTCTGTGGGTGGTGGGCACACAGTGCAATACAGATATAGAAATGGACACCTGAGATCCACATAATGTTATTAACCAATGTTACTCCAACACATTTAATTAAAAATAACTAGTTCATAGGAAATCTTTCATTCTTCCTGTTTCTATTGTTTCTTCTCCATTATATATAATCTCTTTAAATGCTCCTCAAATGACTTATGTCTTTAGAAATGACTCTTAAGATGGTGCGACACGTGTGCGATAGTTGCCGTTGCCTTTGTAGAATTTAGGTTCTGAAGGTGCAGACGGGGGCGACCTGGGCGGATAGTGAGTGGCTCTGACTTGGCAGGAGGGTGGTCAAGTGAGATATCTGCTTTCTGTTCTTACGCTTCTGATTAATCCGTACATATTTATATGCATAATTAATATATAATCATTACTATATAACATATATATAATGCTCTCCTTTATTGTGCTTAGTTTTTAATTTAAAGATTAAAATGTTAAGGTTTAAAGAGACTTCTTTCACTCCATCCTGCTCCTGCCAGACTGGGTGGGAAACCATACGTCTTGGGTTCAAACATTTTACTTTTGACCTGGGCAAGCCTAGTAACGCAGTGCCAGCAACATCCTCATTAACCACGTCACGGGGGCTTTCTCCTTACAGCACTTCCACACGGGGACCCTTAATCAGCTATTGCCAGACACTGCCTCTTACAGGAAGCATTCCTGAAACTGGTCAGGCTTCGAAAGGTAGTGGCAGGATCCATTTATATACCTTAGCTTGAGACGATACACCTTCAACAGAAAGGATCAGCAAAGTATTAAAGAAAAGACTAACCCAACAGGAAGATGGCCAGGAGTTCTTCTGCTGTGTTATCAGGTTTTTTTCCAATGAGTAATTAGGGGCAACTTTTGAACACACAGGAAAGGTGTGTCTGATGCAAGAAAGCGGATGAAATCAGAGAGAGAACCCGAGAGGATCCCAGTATCATCAGACTTTTTGAGCAGTGAGAGCTGTGCAGGAATCCTTCTGTGAACCACAGAAATAATAAATGCTAAGCCCATTGGAACATAATCTCAATCAGCAAGATGCCACTGCTTTCCAGATTTCCTCACAGGGCTCTGCTACTTCCTTGCCAAACCTGGCAGTGGATTTCTCCTTTCTAATCTCCCCTAATGCCTTATTCAATTATTGTCACTGCTCTCCAACCATGCACTGTCCCCTCCGACGCTCACTTCCCAGATGAGTCAGTCGGAGGAAGCCGAGTGTCCATCAGGACATGGTCTAAGAACACCAACCGCCCTGGTCACATGAAAAGACAGCAAGGGGGACCCTTACATTTTTTCTGGCAACCCCATCACCGACTGGATTACTGGCTGGATGCAAACACGGCAAAGTGCTATGCGGGGTCCAGAAGGTTGCTCTGGCTGACTGGCGGGGGAGCTGCCGGCGGGGAGGGAAACCGGGAGGGCGGGGAGCAGGCATCTCGAGCACCGCAGCATGGCATCGCCTCTGCCCTGGCTCTACGTGATCTTATGGTGAGTAAGAGTTTCTTCCCGATTTTTCCCCTTTAGCCCAGAGGGAAGGGAAAGCGCACACCCACTGGGTGACTTCTCTACCCAACCATGAAAGAAGCCGGGCCGGTGCGGCATGTAGCTGGGCGGGGAAGGCAAGAACTGAACGGCCCATTTTCTCCGAGGCTGGGAGTGAGGGTCACTGACTGTCTACTCACAGGGTAGGACACGCCCTAGGGGCACTTGGGGATGAAGGAAACGCCTACTCAGAGAATATCAGTCGGATCCTGGACAACTTGCTTGAAGGCTACGACAATCGGCTGCGGCCGGGATTCGGAGGTGAGAGGCGACGACTTCTAGGAGACCCAACATCTGTCCTCTCCTGGCCCTTACTGCCATTCCAAGGTCCCGGGGCCTCAGAAGGATGGCTGGGTGGGGAAGTGCAGGGGTCCTGGAGAGAGGCCACATCCACTCTCTGCCCCTCCTCAATTAGAGATCTGATATGAAAGTTGTTTGAACTCTCCGAGCCTCAGTTCCCTCAATAGTGTGAGTGTATGAACAGTGCTTGCCTCGTAGAGTGGCGTGAGTGCTGAATGAGATCCTCCAGGCATCTGTCCCGTTAAAGCCGTGAATTAGTTATTGTTATCGTTTTCATTAGCGGTCTCACCTAGTTCTCCTTTTACTTGCATTCCCAAAGTTGACCAGATTAAATTCAAAATAAGGCAAGCGGTGTGACTTTTTAAGGTTGAAAACTCCAGGAGCGTTCTGCTGGGATTACTTTAGGGTGGTTGCAGGTTCTGGCCATGAGAAGGGGCTTTGTTGTAGAGCCATTAAGTTCAGCTCCTCCAGCATCACTGGTGATAACTGCCCCCATCCTTCTGGGCTAATTTCAGGTGCTGTCACTGAAGTCAAAACAGACATTTACGTGACCAGTTTTGGGCCCGTGTCAGATGTGGAGATGGTGAGTGAGCTCTGAGTGGGGAGGGAACTTTGCTTGGGGGGGAGCGCCACGACCCAGAGCTAATGATAACGGGCATGGTTACCAAGCACCTTCACGCACACGCGAACTCCTGCTGGGAGGGCACGGCCCTGAGAGCAAATTACTGGCTTGATCTCCTGCACTAAGGGCTCTGCCTGAACACCTGCATCTGAGGGGTTTTATAAGACGGGGTCCCCTCTTCTGTCCACGTGTCATGCATTCATTCGTGCCTGCGAAGTGAAGCTTCTCCTCACCTTTACGAGGTCCTGGTAAATGCATGGAGTAGCAAAACAAAGACAACAGAGATGCCATGTCAGTGTACTTGGAATAGCTATGAGACTGAAAACATAGATTTATATGTGCAGTACATCATTTTTAGTATATTTCATTAAAAGAGTGAAGGGAGTCGTTTGTGTCGGGAACAGACCAGTAGGTGTTCCAGGGACTGCTCCAGGTACAGACGGCTGTAGGATTTGTAAAAGGGTATTTAGAGTAAGTGGCAGTAAGAACCTGAGCTAGCCTTCTAGACTACAGATTAGAATAGGGTGGCATAGTCCTTAGGTAGCATTTCCCCCTAAAGGTAAAATGTAAATACTAAAACGGAAATAAACATAACTTCTTAAAGAAGTGCCTCATTACATTTTATTAGGGAAATGTAATTTTGCGTAAACAGCTATTAGAAACTTTTTTATGGGCTGCTTTTTGAGTTGACAAGAAAATAAAAAGGGAAGAAATATGAGAGGAAGAGAAAGGGGAAAAAATAAAAAGAATATAAGAGGAGGGGAGGGAGGATGACTTTATTCAAGAGAGAAATGTCTTAAGACTGGAGAGAATAGAGAGTCTTCATTAACCAGCATCTTCAATGATTTTACTATCACAGTTTTCACTGAACTACCGACTCACCCACATATAAATAACCGCGACCATATTCTACTGTATTATTTGAAATCTGGGGATACTTGGAACTTTATTATATGCATTTATCTCCTTTTAATTTGTATGATAGAGCCCTGTTAGAGCCTGGATCGTCACTATATGAATATATTGTGTGTCAAATTATATTTTTAAAATATAATCACCACTTATGGTAATAGGACTCTTAAAAGAACATATAAAGTCGGCAAAGCAATTACTGGCAATCTTTTGATGTAATTACATTGTTATTTATCATTGACTTTTGCAATGACCCTTATCATAATTCTTAATATTTTTAATGTTATTTCATAAAAGCCACAAAGTAAAACTCATAGTTATTATTATGCAAGCTTTAATGATGCTCTTTTTGAGTATTCATGGTCACATTCGCTTTATGTGCTCTGAGAATGATATAAAATAGTTGTGATGTGCAGCCAGGGTATGCTCGCCAAGGCAAGTTTCCCCTTGGACCTTCACTGAACGGTATCAGGACGCCTGGAGACGCCTTTGAAGGTGAACAGATTGCCAAGGGGAACGGTTAGACTAACTGATGGTAAGGAGGGCAGTGCAAAACCTAAGTGTAAATCTTTCCATGTTTTTCTTCCCTAAATTAAGGATGGGGTAATTGATAGGCTGAAGGATGAAGAGATGGGTGAAAGAAAACAAAGCATGTTGAGGAGGGTCAAGGTTAAGGAGGGAACTTTGTACAACAGCACTATCTTCCATAAGAGTACAAGCTTGGACTTTGAGAAAAAGAACAACTCACTGAAATTATAACTTTCCTCATAGGTTATTGTCATAAAAAGTTGCTTCGTTCCTTAGGTTTCAGGATTGGGTGGGTAAGTTGGTGCATAAACTGTTCTTAATAAACCGTCTCCCCGGCCCGCATGAATATCTGATTTTCCCTTAGGAGTATACCATGGATGTTTTCTTCCGCCAGACTTGGACTGATGAGAGGCTGAAGTTTGGGGGGCCAACTGAGATTCTGAGTTTGAATAACCTGATGGTCAGTAAAATCTGGACACCTGACACTTTTTTCAGGAATGGCAAAAGATCAATTGCTCACAATATGACAACTCCTAATAAACTCTTCAGAATAATGCAGAACGGAACCATTCTATATACCATGAGGTAAGGTTTTCCCAATCCCACATCTTCTGCCCAGCTGATCCGTCCATCGTACTAACTCAGAACCATTCACCCCGATGTCCCCAGGCTTACCATCAATGCCGACTGTCCGATGAGGCTGGTTAACTTTCCTATGGATGGGCACGCTTGCCCACTCAAGTTTGGAAGTTGTAAGTTACAAAAAGCTTCTGAGAGTCAAATAATGCATTCAAAATATGCAATTATTTGGTTTTAATCAGAGACTGGAAAACAAAAGAGAAATATTACTATGACACTCAAAGTGTGACTCCAGGAATATACTTACTTAATCATACCTGTCATAGTCAGAGGTTTTAGTCACCCAGATTAAAGAAAACTCATGCTTGTATTTCCTTTTTATATGCACAAAATTTGCTTNATCATATCTGTCATAGTCAGAGGTTTTAGTCACCCAGATTAAAGAAAACTCATGTTTGTATTTCCTTTTTATATGCACAAAATTTGCTTTGAAAGAAAAAACTACTGCTAGTCAGGTTCACTATTATGTTCAATGTGTTTTAAAAATTCAGATGCCTACCCCAAAAGTGAAATCATATATACATGGAAAAAAGGACCACTTTACTCAGTCGAAGTTCCAGAAGAATCTTCAAGCCTCCTCCAGTATGATCTGATTGGACAAACAGTATCTAGTGAGACGATTAAATCTAATACAGGTGAGAATTTGACCAATAGTTGGATGTCATCCTGAAAGGTGACTCCAGCGTGCATCTTCAAAATACCTCTTTCTTTCTCCTCTGCATTAGCCATCCTCAGATAAGCATGATGTTTGAAGCGCTGAGTGGCTTTCTTTAAATTAAAGACTTTGCTGCCAGGTGCACATAAAGATTAGAGTATCCTTGGAGTGAGTGGTTTTGTATGTATACGGCACAAAGAACCCCGCCCCAAACAATGAGCTGATGTATCTATCATCTGCTGATCAGCGTGTCCGCCAGATGTTAAAATATGCCTTTGGTTGTTTTCTTCCAGCCCATGTTTATTTAAAGACTTGGGCGATTTATCCCCAGCTGTGTTCTTCTTTCACGCTGTCAACAGCAATAACACTGATTTCCGTGTCTTCCAACAGGTGAATACGTAATAATGACAGTCTATTTCCACTTGCAACGGAAGATGGGCTACTTCATGATACAGATATACACACCCTGCATCATGACCGTCATTCTTTCCCAGGTGTCCTTCTGGATCAATAAGGAGTCCGTCCCCGCCAGGACCGTCTTTGGTACGCTTCCCTCTTCGGGCTCTTTCCATTCATCCTCCAGCTCTCGTGCTTTGGGTGTGTCAGGGAAATATTCGTGCCAGTGCACTTTTTCAGTCCACAAAGGAAACAGACTCCTTTCTCATTCAGACACATGTATCGTGTAAAAGGGCCCTTATCTTATCACAAGTTGTGTGGTGAATCAACAAAACATTTGCCTTAGTGAGAATTCTGGCTGGTTTCCCGTGACTTTCATATGTCCTATTTAGTAGTTTTTTTTAAAAAAAAAATCTGTATTTGATTTTTCACAGCCAAGGGGAAGCATAAAAGTCAGAAATGGCATGTAAATCCATAAAAACCAAGGCTNGCTTTTTTAAAAAAAATCTGTATTTGATTTTTCACAGCCAAGGGGAAGCATAAAAGTCAGAAATGGCATGTAAATCCATAAAAACCAAGGCTAAGTTACTGAACCCACTAACATATAAACTGTAGCTCACTTTTATTAGGTTGGGCCATAAAAAAATTGCTATTTTTCCAGGTCTAAAATTAGTTAAATACTACCAATTTCCCATGTTTCAACCTAAAGTTTAGTTCCATTTATGATGTCCAGAGTCACTACCAGTTTTGACGAAACAAAATAAAGTAAGAAAAAGAGATGTAACAGAAAACATCATCACTAATTTTTCTGAATTTTTTCTGAATTTTCATATTACAAATTTAGCAGTTCCTAGGGAAGGCCTAAGTTGAACTGAAATCGCAGATGAATTTTGACTTTTTAGCTTACTATATTAAAATAGATCTTGTTCTGAAGATTATAAAAGAATATCTATAGAATGATGTTGACAGTATTCAAATTACATAAATTCTCCAAGTCATAATTCAAGACAGAAAACTGCTGGCAGATGAACACTGAAATTATTTTCTCATGAGTAGATATTTTACCTTAAAACCAAGCTAGTAATTTAAAAAAATGAAGAACCTAATTTTATGATTATTCATACCAGATAGACTTCTTAAATAGGGTGAAAGATATTATCATCTATAAAAACCAGAAGTTCAGGGTTTTATATCTTTAGTGATAGTTCGCTCTAAGTGTTCTAAAGAAATAAACAACTAAAATTTTCCGTAGCTTAAATTTTACAACAGTTAAGCTAAATCAATTAAAAAACTACGTTTCGAGTTACTACAGTGTGCAGGTCGCGGCACTAGGTGTTGAAGGATACAAAAATGATAATACCTATGATAATAACTCGGAACAATTATTAAGCAATAGCATAATAACCAAAATTACACCTGGAGAGTGTCTGACCCCCGCCACCGCCGGCCCCTCCGCCCGCTCCGGCCCCGGGCTAACGCCGGCCCGCCCTTTCCGCGCAGGGATCACCACGGTGCTGACCATGACCACGCTGAGCATCAGCGCCCGCCACTCGCTGCCCAAGGTGTCCTACGCGACCGCCATGGACTGGTTCATCGCCGTGTGCTTTGCCTTCGTCTTCTCGGCTCTCATCGAGTTCGCAGCTGTCAACTACTTCACCAACCTCCAGACGCAGAAGGCCAAAAGGAAGGCGCCGGGGGCAGCCTCGCCCGCCGCGGGGACACCCAAGGCCACTGAGCCCGTGGAAGCTGAGATTGTCTTGGTAACAGTTTACTTTACTAATCTTACCCACCCTATAGAACAGGTCACCCAAACAGCGATCAACAAACAAATTGTCCAAAAGTAGTATTAGCTGAGCGTGAGTTACATAAACCTGGTTCCAAGGCCAACGTTGCAGCCAAGCTCACAGCAAAAAGGCCAACGTTTTAGCCAAGCTCACAGCAAAAGGGCCAACGTTGTAGCCAAGCTCACAGCAAAAAGCCAGGCGACAATCCCGCGTTTCCCGAGGCCGTGACGCCTGGCATTCCTCCGTCACCACCCTCCTGGTACCCGCAGGCCCCACGCTCTCAGGGACAAGCATGTTCTTCTCAGCCTTTACATGTTCGCTTTGGACAGGTTCACTTAAAGCAACTAAGGAGGCTAAAACTAAAATAAAATGTTTTTAAGGAGACTTTGAGGCTTCAGAGCCTGAAGGAAACAAACAGGGGCTCCTAAGGGACAGACACCTTGTATTAGGACCTGCTTGCTGGCTTATTTAATGGGGGCAAGACGTGAGTTGTAGGTTCAGCGAATGCTGAGGCGTGAGCCGAGTTTTCCATTCATGTGAAAACACCGTCATATTCATATTCATTTACTAAGACATGCAATAAATGTGTTTTTTTCCAAAGACTTATGATCAGGGAACAATCCCTATACAGTTAGGTTGAGCTCTGTTGTGGCTAAGCTCTGGTCCCCAAAGGTGTTTTAAATAAGAAGCAGCATTAGTAATTCAAGGGTCATAAATATCTCCTCAAATTTCACTTCCACATATGAGTAAATTCTCCCAACAACTAAGTTGCACAAATTTTTTTAATGGATTATAGAACCGATTGGCAAGTACATGTTTTTAATCTGAGTACAAACCCAAATGGTGGATCCTGAAAAAAGGAGAATTTTGCTGTATAAAATTTAGTAATACAGGTACTTTAAACCAAAAATGTCCTTATAACTGATCAATTCTCATGTACATTCCAAATCACGGAACCTCATATGACCCAGCTAATTCTTGGTGAAGTTTTATGATAAGAATTATAAAGCTATGTGCACTTTACTTCTCAGATACCCAGGCATTTATTGGATGAAGAATGATAATTTTGTACTGAAACTTTTCTCTTTGAGAAACTAAGAAACTTGGTTGAGAACTTACATTTCTCAAAGGAATAAAATAAGGCTACCCCTGTGATAAGTGGAAATACATAAAGATTTTTTTCATGAATTACTCCCCACTTAAAAAAAGCCTTGTGATCCAGTCCAGTGATTTCTGCTTACAAACTGAACACAGAGCATCAGAGAGGAAAATTATTAGCTACTAGTTGGTAAAAAACTAGGAATTGACTTTAAACTCTTGATATCCACAACATTACAGAGGCCCTCCCCTCTCCAACAATTCCTAAATAGTGAAACATCCAATATTTTCAGGATGTAGGTGAGGTCATTCCCAAAATTCTTTCCTTGACTTAATGATTTTTAGAAGAAAAAAAAATAGATCTCTTTTAAAAGGTGACAAAAATATAAATTTTGTAACAAAAATATGTTAGACTAAAAATTCAGTCCAAAACACTTGGAAATCACTTCACTCAGAAAATAAATTCCAAATATTTTTGAGAATTATTTTATGTTTGTAAAAATAAGTGATAAGTCATTTGTATTTATATAGGTATATAACTGACACATTGTCCAAAGGTCACATATTAACACATGTTGATACAGGAAGAAGAATTAATGTTCATCAGAATTCAGTTTAACAATTTGTTACTTGAGAAATAGTAAAAATTAAAAGAGAAATTCATGAAAATCATGGTAAAAATAAATAACTCCAATGATTTTGAACATGCTCATTGATCTGATGCAGAAATAAAAAGAAAGATCAATGTCTTTACTAAACTCTTTTGAAATATATATTACTGAGAGGGATATGGTTTCAGACCCTTGGAAAAATCATAGTTATTGTTCCTATCATCCAATATTTTAAAGGTATAATTTATTAATGAGATGGAATTTAAGATCTCAGGTATTTATATACTCTACCTTCTACAATTCTAAAATAGTAACAGATACTGAGCAGGTCCTCTGGGAAGCCGGATAAAATATTGCATTTAAATAATCTCACGGCACTTTTTTTTTGCAAGTTGACTTTGCTTTCTTATGAAAAATATATTTCTAAACCTGGCTCTGTCTAAAATATTTTAAGACAATGGAAAGCAGAATTTCATTTCTGAAAGGCTAGGTCAAAGCATAAAAATAAAAAAATTTAAAAATAACAACAATACAAATCTTGTAGATGTCAAAAATAAATATAGGTGATTGCACAGAACATTTACATTTTATTTATTTATGTCAAAACGTGGCAGTTTGCCTTATATAATGTAGCGGAACAAAAATTATACAGCACAATGGTATATTATGATTGCTAGGTCACTTTTTTTCCTTTCAAATACCATGACATTTAAAAACGCCTTTTCCGTTGTAATCAAAACAACATTATTTGAGTAACTTGGACATTGAAATAGCGAGCCGATGGGGAAGGTGAAATGAAATAAGTGCTTGGATATTTCATGTGGTTCTAAGTTGTATATTTTAATGAACTCTGCTTTTCACCAGCAACTACTTATAACGTATGTGGAGAGAAGTTTATCACTGATTTTGACCTTAAAATATAATATAATAATGACAAAGAAATTCAGGCATTTAGAATCTAGTGTTCAAACTAGAAGAAACACCTAAAACTAAATCCTTAGAAGTACTCTATAGACTAATAATTATTTTCCTGTGGTTAAGGCACTTGAACTGGAGGCTTTATTGTTTTTTTAGCTTTCGAGAAGGAGTTGTCCACAATTTCTTTTCTGCTTATGTGGTATTTTTCCTATTGACTTTATCTGCTATGTTATCTTGGCGTTAGAGAGTTGCTCCTGCCTTCGTATTTCATAACTCGTGTCTGAGGTGTACTGTTCTGCACGTAAAACCAAGTTCGGACCTTGGTCTCCTGAAAGTTTTGCTAACTTCCCTGTTACTTTCCAAGTTGAAGACCTCGTTACTTGTCCCTAAGGGGGCCCCCTCCCCTGACCCGCCGACACATCCAACGTGGCTTTTCTCTTTCAGAGGCCCTATGCTCTGGGTAATTTATCTACAAACAAAATTGACCAAAATGTCTTTAGTTGGGACAACAGCTATTCTTTACTCATTCATTTATTCGCTTTTCTTTTCCCCTGCCACCCATTTACTGAGTACCTAGGTATTTGTTGAATTTTTTTAAGTGCTTTTCCGCAGTCGTGGGACGCGGAGGAGACGTTAACGGGTGACGTCAATAGGGCCTGTTCCCTGATGGGGCGTCTTCCGGAGCAGGAAGGGGCAGATCAATGAGCAGGGACAAGGCGCTGCGATGCAGGCCCTGCTCAGGCGTGTGGTGGCTGAAGGAGAGCCCTCCAAGAGCGCCTACCTCAGCCTGGGCCGGTCGCCGTCCTGAAAGAAGCGACGCCGGCCTAGAACAGAGGCCTGGCCTGGCCGACAAGCACGAAGGCCGCTGCTGCAGCTTGGGCACGGGGAGGGAAGTAAGGCGTATGGCCCGTCTCTGTTCCTTTTCAAGTCTGGAATGTCTGCTGGGCCCTACGAAGCACAGAATGCTGGAAAATGTACTTCCTCTGCTCCAAATATTGGCAAGATTTCTTTGAGTGCCATTACTTAGGAGAATTAAGGGTTGGAGTAAGACCACGAGCGATTCTGAGCACCAGAAAGACCACGGTGTCCCTTCTCCGGGCTGTGCCATTGACTTATAGAGAAGGCGGTGTGGACTAGGCGAGGGCTGTAGGTGGTGGGTTCTTTCCCCAAACCTTCTATCAAATCCGTGTCAAATATTCCATTCTTCACCCTCCAAACGTTCCAATATGGTTTCCAGACATGCCCCTAGCACCACTGACCCACCAGGTTGCTGCCGGTAAGCTGCTTCTCTCTAGAAATTCTGAGTTCTGCTCTGTTTCCAATTCTACCAGCTGCAGCATAAATGCAGGAAAACTTGACAGAGCTCTTACTTTCTCCACAGTGTGATAGTTTAAAAGAATCAGATAGCTTTAAAAAATGTCAAATACTAAATGTTTTCAAAAATATTTCCTTATTTTTGATGCCCCTGTTTGCTGGTTCTAGAAGCAGTTGCAATGTTAGTCCCTTGAATAATGTAGCCCTGATTAGAATCTCTCTCAAGAGGTGACCCACTGCCCCTCCTCTGTAACATATTAGACTCACTGAACACTGTATCAAAATTGCTCTGAGTCCTTCCCCATGCCTTATCCCTACATCAAATAATTGATTGTCCTAAAGTCCGGTTTGATTCAAAGTGCCTGTGCAATATGGTTACTTAAGACAAAGCTGTGCTCTAAAAATACCCAAAGCAGGATGGCACTCAGCAGCAGGGGAGCCCTGGAAAAATTCAAAACCACAGGTGTTCCACTCAAAACAGTGACAGCCCCAAGCTGAGCCCTCATCTGGACTCTGACAAAAGCCTATTTTACCGTCAACCGAAGCTGCTGAGCTTACAATGAGCAGGCAAGCGGGGTCTGATGCAAACCTGTAGCTTGAATGGCTTGGAAAATTGGCTTCTTTTCATTTCAGAATTTCAATGTGATTCCTTTAAATTGGCATCCAGTCTCTATACTGCGAATTCCCAATTATCCAGGAGCTGATTATCCAGCCTGTGCCTTAGCCAGGCACCATGCATTTCCTTGAGCATATTTTATTTGCTTCCTGCTAGATATCCCCCAAGTCACCATTAGGCCGTGGGATAGCTGTAACTGTAAAGCAGTGATTCTCAATGGTAGGTGAATTTCCACCCAGAGGATACTGGCAAGGTCTGGAGATATTTTGGGTTGTCACAACTTCGAGAAGAGGAGGAGGGGTGCTACAGGCATCTTGTGGGTAGAGGACAGGGTACCGTTCTCCATCCCGTGTTATTCAGGACAGTCCCCACAACAAAGATTTATCCTACTCAAAATGTCAATAGCACCGTGATTGACGAACCGTGCTCTAAATCATAAAGCTCATGGGAAGAAACAATAATTGTTGAGTGTGACCTTTAGAATCTGAGAGGGACTGAATTCGGGTGGTGCCAACTATTATTTGTGTGAGCTTCCTGCTCAAGCCTTCATTGGTTCATCTCCAAAATGAAAACTGCATGATGACAATAGATTCCTTCTAGAAATAAGCAAAACAATGCATGCAAAGTGCTGTGCAGTGCTTACCACCAGTAAGCATTTGGATACCGTACCTATAATGTAATGCAAAATAACATACTAACATACAATGTAACATAACCGTAAGACCTTTTGCTCCTTTCTTTTTGCTTGTCTAGTGGAAGAAATCTTCAACAATGTTTAGATTTTCAGTCATTTGCTGATTCAGCATATGTTTGTTAAGCGTGTACTATGCTCTGCGCACTGGCTAGGCACTGTGGGGCACTTCTGCATGACAATTACATGCCCTCTACCATTAACGTTAGGAAAGGAGATAGGCACAACAGAAATAATATTTACAAGGAAGTATGTTTTAATAGCTAAAAGCTGTAGCAGCCAAGCAGGCAAAAGAGCGTACAAAGTGTGCGTGTGTCTATATATAACACAGTCTTTCTCAAGTTCTCAAAGAAAAGAAAGAAAGCACAAAGAAAGTAATAATCGTCCCCAACTTTAAAGATAGTAANATGCGTGTGTCTATATATAACACAATCTTTCTCAAGTTCTCAAAGAAAAGAAAGCACAAAGAAAGTAATAATCGTCCCCAACTTTAAAGATAGTAAATTGAAGCTTAGGGAGAGTCTATGAAATCTACGACAAGTCTAAGTCGTGTAGCCCCTCAGCAGTGTACGTGGGCTCCCAATCTAGGGCTTCTGACTCCCCTGTCCTCTTAATTCTTAAGCAATCCTCCGTAGGGATCGTTCGGGGAAATCAATGTGGAAAGGGGGGAATCCTATTGTAGGGGACCTTTAATTCCAAGCTAATGCCATTGTGATTAAGTTTTTCGTGGTGTTTAGTCTTGAGTGATGTTGGTTAACTCTGGACAAGGAATATCTGGCAGCTTCATTTTACGTGATTTGTCACACTGTGACAATGCCAAGAAATTGAAAAATAATTTTCCTCCTACATCCCTAAAAATGAGGGTGAGGTGAAACCTCTTACATTTTTATGGCAGAGTATGTTTTACAATCACTTTCTCATGTCAATAAACTTTTTAATGCCTGCATTCTTTCTCCCTAAAAAAGAAAAAAAACCCCACAAGCTTCACACAGGCAATGAGTGCTATTAAAAGTCAAGACACATTTAGAAAGACAATCTGCTCTAAAGGCTTGCCCTCTTTCGACTTCATGGTGATCCTTCAAAATTTTACTAGAGTAAAACATTTTAATGGCCCGTACGTCTGGAAGGAGGATACTTCTTTTTTGGAGAATGAAACAGTCACACATTTTTCTGTGTCTGGTAAAGAATATATTAATAAAATATTTACTGAATGAAAAGTCAAATTAGAGGCTGAGAAAAATGCTAAAAGCTCTTGTAAGAGAGGCAGCATTCCTGGAGACGAAAACACCACTACCCTGGTCCCATCCACACAATGTCTGGTGACCCTGGGCACAGCAGTCCTTAGCTGTCATGTATTTTTGATAGAAAGTATCACCGATTTCCTGTCCTAGACCAGCAGGACAGGAAAATTATCTTCTACCTCCAAGACCTACGATTTATTTAATTCTGGCCAGAGTGCTTAGCACAATACCGGGCCAACAGATAACAAATAAAGATATTCTTTGCTTGAAATTCACCATGCTCATATCAAACTAGGCTTGACTACACAGTAGACTCCTTTTTGCTTTTGGTAAAGAAACAGATTTTCCAGTGTCCCCGAAAAGCATACTGGTCTTGAACTCTGTATGATGACTTTTTATTTAGATACTCAGTAACAAATCAAACAGCAAAATTCAAGAAGGGGAATTGGAGCAGAGAGCTGTTTGGGTTGTTGTTTCCCGCAGTCCAAATGTCACCACGTCGGTGGGTCACTGGTCCTGCGGCTCTGCCAGCACAGGGAGGTGGCTGCCTCTCCCTGGTGCTGCGGGGTTGCTGGCTAAAGCCGCAGGAGTCTGCCCACGTGAGTAACATGCCCTGCCAGGCAACAGAGTGGTGATTTTGCTGCCAGGGAGGAAACAAGGTGGTTTTACAAGAGCAGGGATAAGAACAGCCCGGGTTTGAAGGCAGAGACCCAGCGAGGACAACCCGGCCGCAAGGAGAGAGACAGTTACAAGATGCAGATAATAAAAGAGAAGAATCGGAGGAAGGCGCCCTAGTCTCCAACGGCATAACGGGGATCTCAAGCGAACAGAATCAGCGTCTCTGAATGAGGCCAGATACTTTAGGGTAAAGGTGAAAACGCTGGGGGATGAAACAAGCACCGAAACTGAGCGGCGGTTTGCGGCCAGCAGCCTGCGGGACGCGCTTCCCCTGCCTGGGCGCGGCCTTCCCACCCACCACCTCAGGCGCAAATGTCCCTGTCAGGATTAAAATGGGTTCCCTTAGGATTTCAGGGGAACAGAAATTTTAATGATAGAGAAAAGCATATAACGATTCTGAGGTTAGTAAATGAATCGTCTTTTGGTCGTTTAAGATGGAGGGAAACCAGGGAGAATTCTGAATGGGAAGCAGAAGGCTCTCAACAGAGAACCTCCGAGCTAAGAGGCAGCGGTGCTTCGAGGGATGAAGAGTCATCCTGCCCGATCTAAGGGCCCTTACGCTCCGTTACGGCCTTTCACACACATGAGCATCTTCATGTATGTCTTTAATGTCAGCTGGCCCAAATTATGCATGTATGAGTGTGAAGATGATGGTGTAGGCTGGGAATGTATCTGGAGGGATGATGCTAATTAACCAAGCTGTTATTTTCTTATATTTTCTACATATTCCAAATTGAAGTCCCATCTCATTACCCAAACTCATTGTCCCGTAGGCTTAACCATAACGAGCGGGTGGATAAGCTTTTGCAACCTGACCCATCTCCTCCAAATCGTACAATGCTCAACAGTTTCTTTAACGCGGAACATGTTGGCATCAATGGCTGATGCTGGGTGAAAGCAAATCTTTTTTTTCTCTTTTAATTTGTTTTACTACTTTCTTGGAAATGTAGCACCATCCAATAGTATAAGAATTTGCTGATATTTTTGTCTTGCATAGTAGTTAAATAGTCAATAAATATCTATCAATAATGAAAAAAAAAATGAATCTAAAGAAGTGATCTCTATTCTCTACCTAGGCTGAATACGTATGTCTTTTACCCACAGCATCCTGACTCCAAGTACTACCTGAAGAGAAGAGTCACCTCCCTGACCTTGCCGATAGTCCCGTGCCCTGAAGCCGGCAGAGTCCTCACTAGAGCTCCCATCCTACAGTCAGCGCCCGCCACGCCCCCACCCCTCCCTCCGGCCTTTGGGGGCACCAGTAAAATCGACCAGTACTCTCGGATTCTCTTTCCCGTCGCTTTTGCAGGCTTCAATCTTGTATACTGGATTGTTTATCTCTCCAAAGACCCAATGGAAGTGAGCAGCAGTGTTGCATAGCCTGCGGACAAGACACCCTGCGTTATATAAGTTCTCATTTTCTGAATTTAAAAAAAAAAAATTGCACTGAGACTTGTGTAGATGCTTTTCTAAACATCAAAACTGAAATTCTGTAACACATAGCTTTTAGTAAGCATATATGAGTCCAAAAGCAATAATATTACTGCTTAAAATTGGAAGTTCAAGGTTGCTGGGTGGTGGGCATACAATGCAATATACAGATCATGTATCGTAGAAATGTACACTTGAAAACTATCTGGTCTTATTAACCAATGTCACCCTAATAAATTTAATAAAAATGTGACTTTTGTGTACACTAGAGAAATTTTTATAAGAGGATAGGATGGATTCAAGGTGAATTTGCCAATCTTAGTTCTTCATTGTTCAATATATTGTCACTGTGAATGGCATATACCACAAAGCAGATAAAGTAAGAAAGGCTGACAATTCCAAAGGTTGCCTTAAAATATGTCTATTTTGGCTTAGTTTTCAAGAGAGCAAAGTATAGTCTAAATATTTATCAGTAGGTGAATAGCATGCTGGAGGCCTTTGTGCTAGTAAAGTGGCTTTCAGTGGCATTGTAAACCTGTATTGAGCTTAGCCATTTGTTCTTAACCTTGCTGTGCTATTTCACCTCGATAAAGTACGGTGTTTGTATATATATGCATTATACATAGATCATAAATTATGTATGCATATGTATATAGCTTTAGTTGGACTGCAATACAGCGTTGCTTTGTCTTGTTAAACCTGCCTTTAAAAATAATGTGCTCACCATAATTCCATGAAGTTATAGGAACAAATAGTGATTATAAGGAAGCCTTGTGGTTATGTCTTGTATTTTCTACCTTTCTGAGTATATCACTAAATAAAACAACAAACACGGCTATGTGGATCTTCTAATAAAGCTGGGAGCGGAGTTTCCTTAAGTGCAGGGAAATGAAGTGGTTACCTCTCCGCCAGTGTTAGTGTCCCTGGTGATTCTAACTGACAGAAGATAGGGGAAGGCCAGGCTCGGCCACCTAGCTCTAAGGAAAGACTTGAGTTTGTCTCCAAATAGTTAATCCTTCATCTCCTTTCTGTTTACTCAACACACTTTTGGTTATAAGATGAGTAAGGTCTCAGGATCTAATGTATAACATGGTGACTATAGTTGTAATACTGTATTGTATCATTGATATTTGATAAGAGAGTAGAACTTAAATGTTCTCACCAAAAAAAAAAAAAAAAAAAAAANGGTTATAAGATGAGTAAGGTCTCAGGATCTAATGTATAACATGGTGACTATAGTTGTAATACTGTATTGTATCATTGACATTTGATAAGAGAGTAGAACTTAAATGTTCTCACCAAAAAAAAAGGTCAATATGTGAGGCGATGCATGTGTAGAATAAATTGAATTGACGAGGGGACTCATTCCATAAAGCACATGTGTATCAATCATCCTGTGGGCACTATAAATACCTTGGCATTTTAGTTGTCAATTACACCTCAATAAAGCTGAAAGAAATGAGACTCTTCTCCCTTTCTGTCATTCCAGCTCTTCCTGAGTCTACCTCGAGCCATGTTCCCCCGCAGAGCACAGCCTCAGGGCAACAGGAACTGGGAGCGGGAGAAAGCGTGAACGGCAGTCTGTCCCAGTCCATAAACCCCTCATTAGCTGTCCTGGGTCTTAAACATCACTGAGCTCACTCTCAGCTCTAATTCAGAAAGAAATATTTTGGAATTACTACTCTTGATTTTATATAGGAAAATGCAAAACTTCTACAGCCAAACAAATCAAATTTTAATAGAAAGAGCCCTCTACTAAGGGTGAGGAGACTGAGGTCCCCATCCAACTTCCCTATTAATTAACTTCATGACCAAATCTCTTGGTCTCTGGGAGACTTTGTGCTATTTTAATCTATAGAATTAGGGGCTGGATTGGATACCCTCTAAAAGTCCTTTTGTTTTAAACGACTTATATTTGTCTCGTTACAATTTTTTTTCTATCTAAATTAAGTTAGTCTAATGATACAGGGCCTGCTTCTCTTTTAGAAAGTAGCAGCTCAAAGAAGGAAACCCCACAGCTGGGGCTCAGACCCCCAAGGACAGGGTACCACCTGGCTGACACTGGTATCACAGGTAATCAGAGGAGGGTCTCCTCAGGGCTGAGTCTTAGCCCACTGAGCCCTGCCCACATGCCACTAGTATCTCAGGATGGTGCAGGAAACAACACTTGCACACTTGGGATCCAACACACAGGGAGGAGACTGGCTAAAGCTGATTTCTTTGGGAGGGCACACTGAGGCTGGTTCTGGGAGTGCCAAAACCTGGAGACTGAATTAATTATTGATGCAAGGTGAAGGGTAACATTAAAAAGCAAAGCAAATAACTGAAGGGAGAACATTCCTTTCCCTTTTCATCTGTATTCTGGTCTCTCTGCAGTGCCTCCTACTGGAAGAACCTGACAGATATCCTAGAGGCAGAGAAAAAATGAGAATTACAGTTCCAGCCCCCACATCACAAACTAGAGTATAGAAGGCTGAATATCAAGCTGACAGATAAATGCTTAATAACTGACATAATTCGCCCCTTTGGTTATTCTGTGCCATATATATACTTCTGTACGTATTTATACTGTTTCACAAGAATAAGATGAAACTATCCTTCACATTAACAAAAATGCTCTCATCATTTATCCGAAAAGGAGATACAATATACCAATAATCATCGTATCCCTAAGCAACTAGCATAGCATATATTTCTGAGTGATGACATTTAATCTTCAATAAAATTACAGTACCACCTGAATATTTTGTTTCCCAAAACTCAATTGTAAACCTATGATGAAAACACCCTTATATAAAATAGTAAGGGGACAGGAGAAGGGAGGTCAAAAGAAAGTATTCAAGATACACAAGTATCTAATATGTCTAAATATCCATGTGATCTTTATGGATAGATAGAGCTATATCTATCTCTAAGAAAATAATAGCAAGCAAGGAAAAAATGTGCACAGCTTCTATAGTGCCCATTTCTATAATCAGTTACATGATTGTAGCTGATATAAATAGCTTTCTCCTGCTATTCTTTTTCTCAGTCAGCATCTCAGCTAGCTGATTTGGAATTCTTCACCTGACAGAATGACTGAAGACTTACAGGATAATCCAAGAAGGTAGGTTGTTTCCGCTGCTTAGAAAGTCTTAGGAAGTCTTGGAGTTCTCAGATTCTCAGCATTGTCGAAGTCCACTCAGATGTCACCATTAATGTCCTTCCTCATGAGAGTCATGGCAAATGTAAGGTTTTTATTTATAATTTTACAATCAGCATGATTGAAATATGCCTCTATTTTTTTATGAGAAGCCGGCCCCACAGCTTTAAGAAATAAGGAATTCTTTTAAAATTGCCATAAAAGCTCTTTTATTCTCTATTACTTGAACTGAGAATTAAAAGCCATGGACTTGCATTTTTCTATCTGTAGATTCTCCAGGGCAGTCAGAAGAGGTCATCTCACCCACAGGTCTTGTAGTCATCATAACTACTATAAAAGTTAAGGTTTGAAGACCCTTGGTTCCCGGGGCATTTCATTACAATCAACAAGAAGCAATAATTTTAATTACATGTGATGTGACTTCATATTATGAATTACCAATATCTCATTTCCCATTGGAAAGGACATCAGTGTTTATTAAAGGGCATGGACATGACCAAATAAATCTCAGAATCTTCTGGTAGCAAGTACAGTTCAGATAAAGAAACAGCTACTCTCCTTAGGGGTTGGGAGGGAAAAGACGGCACTGGGGTAATCATCTTGGGGAAGGTTCCCAAGGAGCTGGGGCCCAGGCATTTCAAGAGGGGACAATGCCCGGGGCATGATAAGGCTGGTTCTGGGAATGCAGTAAGAAGCTGGGGGCTGAACCCAGTGCTGCTTGTGGAGTGGAGGGTCATTACCAGGACAGTCCTTACACAAGAACAGCCTCGGGATGGAAGGAGGTGTTCCTTCTGTGTTCCTTCTGCCTCGTCTCCCCATAGTGCTTCCTATTCTCAGAACTGAGTAGGAAGCATCTTAAAAAGAGAAATAAAAGCTGTGGAGTTTAGCACCAGTGTGATAAAGTACAGAAGGGTGGATTTCTAAGTAGGAGACAACAGCTCAAACAGGAACACAGAGAGGGACCTAAATTATTCTGGTGTCAGCTTCAGCTCCTTAAAATGCTTCCGTAACAGTGGGGAAGAAATACAGGAGCAGGGAGACTTGTCAGAAAGCACTTATTGGTAAAATCCCATGTCCATAAGTTATCATCAAATGAGTTTACGTATGTAACTTGCCTAGAACAGTGTCTGGCACATACAAGGTGCCAGAATAAGTTATTGTCTATAGTACGAGCGTGGTCATCATTAAATCATCTTACGATCTGCTAGTATTAGGCGTTAATACACAATTGGTAAAATTAAGGTTAAAAGCATTTCCTGTCAGTTCTAAGAAATATGTAATTATGAATTTGCTTACAACAAATATAAGCTGGTGCAAAAGTAAAATGTGTGCTATCACATCAAAAATAAAAGAAAACCACAGATCACTGTTGGAAATTTGAATGATGCACAGTGACAGTCACCCAAAGGGCACATCTGCAAAGAGCTTCCCATAAAGTTTGGTTATTAAATTACGCGTTAGGGTTCAATAATGGCCTTCTCCCTGTGATTTCGGCAGTATTACAAGACGGGCTATTGAATAAATGGTGTTGGAAAAATTAGACAGAAACATGCAAAAAAAATTAAGCTATACCACCTTCTTACACCGTACATAAGAATAAACTAAAAATGGATTGAAGATTTAAATGTAAGACTCAAAACCGTAAAAATCCTAGAAGAAAACACTGGCAGTAAAATCTCTGACATTTTTCTCAGCGATATTTCTGACATATCCCCGCAAGCAAGGGAAACAAAAGACAACATAAACAAATGGGACTGCATCAAACTAAAAAGTTTTCACACAGCAAAGGAAACCATCAACAAAATGAAAAGACAACTTACTAAAGGGGAGAAGATATTCACCAAGGATGCATCGGATAAGTGGTTAATAGCCAAAGTTTATAAAGCGCTCAGGCAACTCAGTGCCCTACAAACAAACAATCCTTTTAACAAGTATGCAGAGGACCTGAGTAGGTGCTTCTCCAAAGAGGACATGCAGACGGCCAGTCAACACAGAAAAAGATGCTCAGTGTCACTAATCATCAGAGATGCAAATTAAAACCACAANGACACAGAAAAAGATGCTCAGCGTCACTAATCATCAGAGATGCAAATTAAAACCACAAGAGCATCACCTCACACCTGCCAGAATGGCTCTCAGCCATAGATCAGCAAACAAGTGCTGGCGAGGGTGTGGGGAAAGGGAGACCCGGTGCCGGCGAGGGCGTGGGGAAAGGGGGACCCGGTGCCGGCGAGGGCGTGGGGAAAGGGGGACCCGGTGCCGGCGAGGGCGTGGGGAAAGGGGGACCCGGTGCCGGCGAGGGCGTGGGGAAAGGGGGACCCGGTGCCGGCGAGGGCGTGGGGAAAGGGGGACCCGGTGCCGGCGAGGGCGTGGGGAAAGGGGGACCCGGTGCCGGCGAGGGCGTGGGGAAAGGGGGACCCGGTGCCGGCGAGGGCGTGGGGAAAGGGGGACCCGGTGCCGGCGAGGGCGTGGGGAAAGGGGGACCCGGTGCCGGCGAGGGCGTGGGGAAAGGGGGACCCGGTGCCGGCGAGGGCGTGGGGAAAGGGGGACCCGGTGCCGGCGAGGGCGTGGGGAAAGGGGGACCCGGTGCCGGCGAGGGCGTGGGGAAAGGGGGACCCGGTGCCGGCGAGGGCGTGGGGAAAGGGGGACCCGGTGCCGGCGAGGGCGTGGGGAAAGGGGGACCCGGTGCCGGCGAGGGCGTGGGGAAAGGGGGACCCGGTGCCGGCGAGGGCGTGGGGAAAGGGGGACCCGGTGCCGGCGAGGGCGTGGGGAAAGGGGGACCCGGTGCCGGCGAGGGCGTGGGGAAAGGGGGACCCGGTGCCGGCGAGGGCGTGGGGAAAGGGGGACCCGGTGCCGGCGAGGGTGTGGGGAAAGGGGGACCCGGTGCACTGCTGGTGGAATGCAGACTGGGGCAGCCACTAAGGAAACAGTGTGGAGTTTCCTCAAACATTTAAAATGGAACTTCCGAGCTCATATAACTTGCTCACAGTCAGCGAAGAAAAGCAGAGTCAGAATCTGAATCTGGGCCGCCTTGTGTCTGACCCAGGATGCCTCTGTCGCTTCTCTCCGCTCGGGTGTGAGGAAGGGCCTAGGATGCGGAGCAGCACTGCGCCAGTCAATGCGAGGCCTCTGCATTCGCTGACGAGTTTGGGACAATGGCCTCTTACCAACCAGTTCTCCTCAGGGATCAGGCATCTCTTCCCCTGTTCATCAGTGTACTCTGGATGTTAAGAGGCAATATTTAGTCTAGAATAACTGAGGGGGAGCGCTCTTGCCATTGCCACACAGATAATCCAAGGGAGTCAATTATCCAACATGTGCGTTTTCTTATCTTTGCCTCTTTCTAGTGATCGTCCAACTCTGTCTCTTTGCTCGCTGTTAGTCGTAAGAACGTGCTCAGATAAAGCCGTTAGGAAATTCATTAGCAGGCCACCTGGAAATCACCTGGACAAAGAGAGAAGCACTGATGATACGTGTGCACAAATGGTCTACGAGTTCAGTATCATCCTCTTCACTGCCAGGCCCCAACGTTCTCATTTGTAAAATACAGGTGCCAGAATTCCTTACTTACTAAGTTCACGAGATCAGAATTTAAACGCAGAGACCCCCCACCAGTGTGCCTGGTGTAGATCTGGAGATCAACAAACCAAGCCTATTGTAAACAGCAATTGGGATGAAGGTGGTTGTTTTTTGTTTGCTTTTAATCCACAGAATAATCAATGTCAAAGAAAGTGTGGCTCATTCTCCACCTATTAAGCAAATATTTAATTCCTATCAAGTGTGGCCATCAAGCTTAAGAGAGGGCCTATGTAGACAGACAGAACTATTCAGAACGCACAAATTTAGCAGGCACGGTGGCCGTGAATTACAGGCGTCCAAGTCTCTACTGTACAGAGACCGGTTTCTCCTTCAATATGTGTTGTATCTATGGCTTTCCGTACTTTCTCTTTTCCCGAATTTGTTTCCCATTATTAATCTGAAGTACAAACTTCCCTCGTTCATACTGAGCACTTGCAACGTGCCAGAGATGTACTAAAATAAAACAGGTAATATATACCCTATGCCCTCATGAAACTCGGCCTGAGAAGAGAGAAACGTCAGCAGGTCGTTGGCGGCTAGGGCAGGGCGCGCTGGCGGAGGTGTTCATAGCACCACGGGCATAACGAGGCAGACGCGGGCAGCGAGCGCCACGCTCTGCTAGGGGCACTAAGAATCACGAGGACGGAAATCTTTGCCAAATTGGCTCCCTCTCTAAATTTTTTCATTTTGTTTCTCAGTGGAAACTGCTGGAATGGAAGATAAGAAATATGGAGGAAAACCCAGAAATATCCATAGCTGATGCCCACGCAGCTCTTTATCCACGGCCTAGTCCCGGGGGGGAAGAAGGAGAAGGCATCAGGAAACAGAGTCAAAGAAAATTCTTTCTAATAATAATAATAAAAAAGAATCCATCTAGAAGCTCTTAGGACCAAAAACAAACAAACAAACAAAAAGCACATTTGTTCATCTCTTTGTCACTTCTATCCCTCCTGTTTCATTTTCAATATATCAAGTGCATTGCACACATTGCTTTACTTACCACTAGTAGTTCAATGAATTAGACATTAACAATTCGGTTACAAAACTGCAAAAACATAAAAAACAAGGCCTAGGATTTGGACAGGTCTACAGAGCTGTTTAGTGGTCGTCAGTAGTCAAATTCGGATGTTCTCTAAATACTTTCATTAACTCTCCCTCCTACACAGCTTCCAGACACTGAGAAATGAGAGAGCCGGAGCCCGTTATTACCAGGATCTTGACCAAATCTATAACTCTATTAATACCAAACATTGTTTAAAAGTTCCTAATTTTATTTCTACCTTATCTATGATTCACTCGTTCAATAACAAATAAGGTAAGTGAGACCGAGTTAGATGTATGCTTCATACACACAAACGTAACTTTGTGCATACATTTGAATAAATTTGAGGTTTTAGAGCATTGGGGTTGCAAAGAGCTCCTCATTGTTTCTACTGGCATTTTCAGTTTAATGGATGCTGTTACCAAACATGACAACAGTCCTATTTTGAATTTTATATTGTATGTAAGAAATTTAAATATTGACAAGGCCTTTTATAGTGAGGAGCAAAAAAAGTTAAAGAACTTGGGCAAGAACACAGTAAATTAATAAAAGAGCTGACAAGTTCATGAAGGCTGGTGAATTCAATTTAGTTATTAAATTCTTTTTTAAAAAAATTGATTTCAGAGGGAGAAGAAGAAAGAGAGAGAGAGAGCTAGAAACATCAATGACGAGAGAGTCATTGATCGGCTGCCTAGCCCACAACCCGGGCATGTGCCCTGACCGGGAATCGAACCTCGATCTCCTGGATCCTAGGTTGATGCTCAACCGCTGAGCCACGCCCGGCCAGGCTAGTTATTAAATTCTTATTTGGAAAATCAGAAAAAAAAAAAAACCTTGAAATTCACTAGGCTGTGGAACACAATTGCTTTTCTTGAAATAACAAGTTCACAAAATAAATCTGTAATATATACTATTTTTGACTACATAAAAAGAACATATGTGGTATTATTGGAACACTTCATCATACTCTAGGTAAAGAGATAATTGGTATTAAAAATAAAGCTAGGGAAGGTACTTCTTAAAGTAAAATTAGGCATCTTTATTTACCTAGTAATACTAGCTACTTAACTCCCCTCAAGGGGATATTATTATGATTAATTGGATTGTGTCTAGAGAGTAGTTTTTGAAAAAAGGAAAAAAAAAATACCCCACACACTTGCGTACTCAAAATTATCTCTAATTTTTACCCTTTCTTGACTTAAATTTCTACTTTATTGGTTCTTTGAGGAAAAGAGAAAAAGCACACTCTCTAAGAGGTCACAGAAAGGGTAAAAAGAGGCAAACTTTGGATACATTGTGCAACTTTACTCCCCAGAACAGACTTGTCAGGAAAATTCCACTATTTTGCAGCTGCAGCTCAAAGGACTCGGGAGAGTTTCAGCCGTCGTATGGACTGGCCTGGCACGGCGGGGGCAGAGGGCGCCATCAGTCCCGCGTCTCTGCTCTGCGCGGAAAACCGAGCGCGGGGGAGCAAAGGGGTCCGCCCATGCGGCACTGCTGCTTGGGACCGTCTCGGGGCCTTCCCTTCCCACTCCGCTGCTCAGTCACTTCCTCGGCCTGTGGGCCTCGGGCTTGGGCGCTCGAGGAGCATTGGAGTGCTCCTTCCTTCCCACGTGGAGGGGGTGGCGCCTGAAACACCTGGAAACGAACCCCGCAGCTTAACAGTGAGACTGCAGCACCCCCGGCCGCAGGGCCTGTCTGCAGCGCGAGGCGCGCTCAGCTGCGAACCCCTGGCCCGACCGGGTCCCTAATCAGGATGACGCGAGGCTGCCGATCCCCACTCTGCCCACAGCGATGCGAAACCCACTCTGGGCTCTGGTAGGGAAGCAGAGAATTATTTGGGAAAAGTGGAAGTCATCAGTTTATACTTAATGTAGTTTTACCAGCTTATCGACCTCAGGAAATCAGTGATATCAGTTCTTTTTTAATGACGTAAGAAACTACAACCCACATTTCGTTTTCACTATGTGCCGCCTCTAGAAAATAAGTGTTTAAACAAACTACTTTTAGGAGCATCCATCAATGGGTGATAATTTTCCTTCATTTGTTGAGTGGCAAAATTATTTCTTGTTTTGTTTTAGCATAAATCCTAGACTCCTGTGAAAAACACTGGAATTGTGCTTGCCTGAGTTCCTGTTTAAATCAATTAAGTATTTGTATTTATCTACAAGGTCAGTTACTCCGAGGATAATCCCAGAAAGTTCAAGTAATTTAAAAAGAACTAGTTGTAAAAACTAACATTTTAGACTAATGGGCAGAGCAAAGAAACCTAAATACTGCCGTGTAGAACATTCCTTTCAAGCAATCATATCTATAGGCTCACACTTACTTAATTCAACTTATTTGCTTCCAGAAAAGAAACGGATAATGAAACAATTTCCTGTAAGTTTTGTTAAAAGTTTCTCAAGGAGTTTAGAAACGCAACATCAATAATTTGTAATAGTGGATTGTATATTTATTCATGTTTGCACGGTACAACCAATCCACAGCATGTCCCTAGTGCGTGTGTGTCTGTGTGTGTGTGTGTGTGTGTCTATATGTGTGTGTGTGTATGTGTCTGTGTGTGTTGTCTAGTTTCATTTACTTTTTCGCAGTATGATTTGTACACAGAAACACTGCACATACTTAATGTGTACAGTCTGATGGGTTTGACATACGCACACATCGCGACACCGCTGTAACTTAACCTAGTTGTGAATGACAGGAGAGGCACGGAGCAGGCCACTTGCGCAGCTCTGCTTAGACGCCTGCCCGGTAAAGTCTGGGTGACGTAGGGAAGGCACTTGTCCGTCAGCCACACCTGGGGACAGGTCACTGGCCAGCATGCGAAGATCTGAGGTTATTTCATCTCCTAAACACAGGGGTTCTCTCTCGTGCTCTCTCGGGCCTGCTGGTGCGTGACTCCTGGCCCCGGGGCCCACAGCCACGCGGGCCCCACACCGTGGACGGCACCAGGTCAATGCTGACCCGGCCCCGCAATGTGGAAGGGAAGCCTTGGCACTGGCTCTGCTTCGGCCCTACTGAGTCCCCAGCTGCACATCCCCGAGACTGGACTGTGGGAAATGGGGCTTTGGAAACCGAGAGATGTAATTCCACGCAAATAAAAATCCCTCATTCTCCCGTGCGAGTCTCAGGAAATTTCTTTTTCCCTCGAGATGTAAGGACTGCACTCCGCCTAGCGATGGAGAAAGACCACGATCAGGGTCAGAAACACGTTCATCACGTCCAGAGGTTTCCTGGTGGCCCTCTCCTTCCTCCCTACTTGTGGGCTTACTGATCCTTTAACACTTCACTTATGTCCCTCGTTTTATCAGCAATGTTTTACCGCTGTCCTGCGTTTTGTACATTTCAGAGCTCTTGAAGCCTCCGTCCTGAATGGACCCTCAGGAGCGCAGCGAAGCCACATGGGCAGGTGGATCGCTCTCGTTTCCTAAGGAAGGACACAGGGCACCGGTGCCTGGGGACCCTGACGTCCTCACAGCTGGTCAGCTGCCACGCTTGCTGTCTACGGAAATGAACTCTTCTTACTCAGGGTCCGGTTAATTTATAGCTTTCTCCCTCATGACACTGTAATTAATAGCAACACATAGAGAGCAAATATGTAAAACATGATAATGTGGTGCGAACACTGTAATAGCTTTACGCGGTATCTTACAGCTCTTTCTTGTAGACGTGCGTGGAGAGGGACTGTTGTTTCTCAAGATCAAATTGAAGATCTAGCCTAACAACCAGGTTTTGTATGAACAGGAAGAAAATCTTGACTCTTGTATCTCTATTTTACTGGCTATGGCATGAAGCTTGCTGGGGAGTCAAAGACCTCAGGGATTTCCCTTCATACAAGTATTTTTCTTAGCTCCCAAATACCACAAAATTGTTCAAAGTCCCTTTGAAGAAGGAAAAGGGAACACAGTATTTCCCCGTTTCTTTGCGTTTACTCTTCTGGAATTTTTCTTCAAAGCTAAATTTATAATGTAGATGGTTTCTCTGTGTCTTTGCTAGACCTTAAGAGAGGTAGTGATTTTACAGCTAACTCCATTCATGGCACAAGCATGCACATTAAAAGCGGTTGTTCGAAGATTTTCCTTGATGTCTTTCTTGAGCTACTGTAGAAAACTGGGGAGGAAAAAACCCCTCCAAAACAGCTTATTCTGCTTTTGATTTATTTATATATTTTTGTGATTATATACCATGAGGTTGGAGAAAATATTAAAATTGCAGCAAATACCAAAATACCGAAATCAACGCCAAAGCAGTTAAAAGGATATTTGAAAACAAGAGAATTTGAGGGGGAAAAAAATCTGTTAGGTTACTTGCAGAGATGCTGTTCCAGTCTCCCTCTTCTATTTATCCTGTAGACATATTTAAAAGTCTTATTTTGTTTTCCTGGGATCTGGCTTGTACACACAAGGGCTTGATAGAACTGTTTTCATCACACAGCATCACTAATACTGCTCCTTCAATGCTACCTACTGTTTCAAAATAATGACTTAAATTAACCTACTTGTTGTCCTAATAGATAATGCAATTCCTGGGTGAATTTTTCACAATGGTCTAGAATTTTTTTCTAAAAGGGCTGAAGGAAAAACCTTTCACATTTTTAAATGTGAGTTGACCTTAATAATTGAGCAAACTTTATTTGACCAAAATCTACAAGTAAATGCAAAAGGTTTTTGTTTAAAAAAAAAAAAAAGAGCATTCAGAATTTCTATCATTTCATATTTCTTAATGGCAGCTTAATTGTTAATAGTCAGTTAATGGGATTTGATAATACACCATTTGAACGTGCTTTTTTTGACAGCTTGGAAATAAATCAAAATGAAAGTTTTATTATCATGAAGATGATAGTCTAGAAACACCTGCATTTCACTTATATCTGAAATGCTGATTTTTACCAGCATGGTGTGTGTGTGTGTGTGTGTGTGTGTGTGTGTGTGTGTGTGTNCTTCATCATGGTCCTAGCAGTCTTCTTTCTCTCCCCTTTTAGTTATTACCAAAGAATGGTATATTTTTTACAAATACAGCATGGTGTGTGTGTGTGTGTGTGTGTGTGTGTGTGTGTGTGTGTGTGTAAAGTAGCCTGATGGTTCAAAAAAATTTGTTTTTCAATCCATCTTCACTGAAATAATTTTATTGTAATTTGCATTCTGGACATTTTCTTGGTGAGTGTGATCAACACAGAAATATTGGTACTGCATATAAATTAGTGTCTATTCCTACAATAGATCTCCACATGGAAACAATGTGATATTTAATTTCCTTCTTTAAAGGTCTAATAAAATTGCAATTCAGGGCACATTGATGGAAAGACTTCTTAGGAGGCATCATAATGTGGGTAAAACAAATTACGGAAAGCTATTACTTCGAAAGATCAACATTTATTTTGCCCTAAAAGATACTACAGATCTCTCAGCTACTATTCTTTTGAGAGGAACTAAATCTCACCGACAATATATCTGTCACTGTGCAACTACTTCAATTTTCTTTCTGTAACTATGATACAAGGTATTTCACATTTAACTTTTCTTTTTTTTAAGTATGTTTTTATTGATTTCAGAGAGAAGAAGGGAGAGGAAGAGAGAGATAGAAGCATCAAGGATGAGAGTCATTGATCGGCTGCCTCCTGTGTGCCCCCTGCTGGGGATCAAGCCTGCAACCTGGGCATGTGCCCTGACCGGGAATCGAACCAGCAGCCTCTTGGCTCATGGCACAATGCTCAATCCACTGAGCCACACTGGCTTGGCTTAACTTTTTTTAAATTTGAATGCATGCAATGGAGAAACACAGTGCATGGGATTTGCTTTCAAAGACAGTATGTAAGATAAGAATTAAATGCTATTAAAAACAGGCTTTACGTATTACCTAAAGCAATATGCAGATTTAATGCAACGCCATCAAAATCCTAATGGCATTTTCCACAGAAATAGAAAAAACAATGTTCAAAATTGAATGGAGACTCACCTCAGAACAAAAGAGATGCCTTTTTAATAGCATGGGTACACAGCAACCTGATACATGCATCAATCGACAAGCATGAAATCGAGCCTCTATGACGTCCAAAGTACTACACACGATACAATGATCAATAATATGTGTTGCTTTGCTCTTACCCATAGAACAGGATCCCCATTATGCAAAGGCACTTTCTGTTTTTATTATCAGCAGCATTCCCTTTTAATTTGAATTATGAACACTGTAGAATCCAACACTGCTCTAGTCACCAGTATCCATAATCATTGAAGTGTTACTTTCCTCCACATATTCACCTATCTCATGAGTGTGTGTAGGTGTGGTTGTGTGTGAAAGATACTTATGGCGAGTGCTGGAGTTAAAACACAGTCCAGCAGTACAGCTATGTTTTACTGTCATAAAAGACAAACGGCAGTCCTATTTATAAACCTACGATACATAATATTTATTGCCGTGCTGCACTGTTTATTCTGGATTTATCTGTGAAATCTTTGACACAGGTTACGTGCAGGCAGGATAAAACTCATAAATGTAATAAATCTCAGTGTGTCAGGAGGTCAAAATTAATCCTAAGTGTAGTTATAAATGTCTGCACTGGTAACAAAACCTCAGTGTCATCACCTGTGAAGGATCTTATCTGCTCGCCTCCTGGGGTAAGTAGGGTCACGTTTCGGCTCTCATGGGGTTGTTTCGTACATAGGCGAGGAAGGAAATTTTGAGTGTATCATAAGAATCTTAAAGAATTAGGGGCAAGGGTTATTAAAGGCTTAACACAAACTGGTTT